ACAACACTCTCATGTCGTCTCTAAACTGCCCTAAATTTAGAGAGTATTGTTACTATATTTATTAGAGTATTATTGCTTGGTGGATTTCTATAGCCCCACCTAACATGTTTTAGCTCATGGTCGCTAACAGTTTTTCGTAGGCATATGACGTTTATCACACATGTTAAGGATTCCAAGACTTAAATATGAGTAATATGGATCGCGTTTCCTATCCAATGGTAGTAGCTCTTTTATGTGGTTTCACAACAGAAAATAAAATGTTCTTGGCTAATATCTGTCTCGCCTTCAAATCAACTGTAATACAGTATAAAGTGTAATGATGCCCTCTAAAAGCCACCACCAGATGTAGCCGATCATCGACTGGCTCATCACATTTAACTTCCATTTGTAACATTTCTGTTGTGGACTGCTATTCCTAGAATATTTCTCTGTTTGCATTCATCTGCCTTGAGGGTCCATTTCTGGGTGATGGGCTGTCCACAAAGGATGGAGGTCAAAAGTAAATTAAGCAAATTATTATGAATCTATGATAAACAGTGGAAAAACCAAGGAAACGCTTGAGTGAGCAATGGACCAGGATGTAGACTTAAACTACCAGGATGTCATGTAGATAATGTATAAAAGTTAAATTCCTAGATTTTTAAAATATGCCTCACCCCACCTTTCGCCTGAAGTGCACTGTAGGAGAGTGTGTACATTACGTGTATGAACGAACAAATTAATGTTTAAAAATGGATGGAAAGATGCCAGGATGATGGTGGCCTAGGGGTGATGGTGGTCATCCATATACAAGTTTTTCGACCTATTAGACCTGATTTTAATCCAGGGGTTCATTATTATGTTAAACAGTTTGTCACATATCATCAAATGACATTTTGTGTTTTCATTCTAGATGATCTTCCCATTCCAGTGGCAGTGTCCGTATATTCCTCTCTGCCCTCTGTCTCTGGCAGGGGTTCTTAATGCACCATGTCCCTTCATTGTGGGTGTGGATTCTAGATATTTTGACCTCTATGATCCGCCTCCTGATGTGGTCTGTGTGGATTTGGACACAAACACTATATACTTGTGAGTGCAACTGAACTCTCTTTGTGGATTTAGCTCTCATAAGATGAACTCTTTCGTTATAGCATTTTTTACATGATTTGAATATTCATCATCCCAGCAAAATAATTGAGGGGGGTTAAAATTTCAATGCTAAAATGTATTTTTAGGAGCAAGTGTCATGTTTTTTTTTTCTCTCAGTGTTTATTGGACTCAATTAAGAGTTCACTTAGCCTTTTTTATGACAAAATGCCTTTCTAAAGTTTTACTAGCTAATACTTTTTCAAGTATCCCTTATGTCACATGCCAAGATGTTTTTCGGCAAAACTGTGGATGAGCAGGCGAAATCACTTCCTGGCGTTAAATGATGTTAAAAACAGAAAAATCTCAGTAAACGAGATGGTGCTGCAGAACTTTATGCTTGGACAAGGGTCTGTAATGGGATGCATTTGGGAAACCCCATATTTCTGTATTAATTCCCATAAAACTGTAATAAAAAATAAATATTTGGTTTCAATCCTTACTAAAAAATTTTCTTCGATTTATGCTCCACTACCTCAGAAAATTTAGGAGGGAGAACTGTGCAATTAATTTTGTAAATATATATGATGTGAAATGAAATTGACACGTTTAAGAACTCCTCATCTTTTAAACAAATTGTGTAATTTGGAAAGTTTGTCTTGATTGTGATTTAACGCAATTTTCTAATCAGCCAATCACAATGCAGCAACTCTGTAGACATGGTCAAAAAGATCTGCTGCAGTTCAAACCAAGCATCAGAAGAGGGAAGAAATACAACTTTGCATGTGGTATAGTGGTTGTGATCTCATGTTAGACCTGTTACTTGAACCTGAAAATGAGTGCACTGTCCTCAAATGAGATCACAATTCAGTTGAGCACCTTTGGGATGTGGTGGAATAACAGATTTGCATCATGGATCACTGCAAGATGTCAATATGGGCTAAACTCAGAGGATTGTTTCCAGTACCTTGAATTTGAAGTTGAATCTATGTCACGAAGAATTAAGGCAAAAATGGGTCTAACCCGTACTACAATGCTGTACCTAATAAAGTGGGTTTGTAAGTGTGTGTAGATTAATGGATCTATAGATATGGACCTTCATTACAAAGCTTGATATCTTGAAAGGAAACACCTGTAAGTGCAATGTTCACTCAGTTCTTAATGTTATAAAACACCAGGATTGTTTTAGTTTTAGTGCTTTGAACACTGGTTTCGGTATACGGGCTGGCATGATGGTAAAAACTAGATGAGGTTAATGTTAAAGTACGAATATTTAATCATTTTGGCAATGTTGTAGGTCTGATGAAAAGCGACACGGTAACTGGAAGAATCTCCCAAAAAAGCCCTGCAAGAGTCTCATGAATTCTTTAGGCAACCTCCACCATCAGCTTGCAACTGGTGAGATCTGTTTCCATTTTACATCTCCTGTTTATAGTAAAATCTGATTGCACATAAGTGTGGGTTTGGTGCAGTTCGCCGTGCAGCACTAGAAGGCTCAGCTGTGGAAATGACTCCGATAGAAGCTGATTTCACCTGGCATAAGAAAAAGACTGAGCTGGAGATGGAGATCCAAGAGGTGTTCCTGCGCTGTATGGCGTCCATACTGAAGGGCTACCGAACCTACCTCAAGCCTATCACACAAGCGCCTTCAGAGAAGGCTACGGCTGCAGACTCTCTCTACGACCTGCAAGGTATACATCACAGTTCCTGCTCACACAGAGGATTTTTGTGTGGTTCCATTGAAACCTGATATAATCTTAATGTTGCTGAATCTTTTTCTTTTAAAAATTTCATTTGCTTTGATTTTTTTTTTTTTTGGCTGAGGAAAGTGGCTGACTCAAATGAGCTATGCTATGCTAGCTTCTGCTATTGGGCCATTTGAAGCCGAAAAGAAGGGAATTTTTATGCTGATGCATATTTTTATAACTGCATGACTTGGACCAGTTCACCTCAGCTCTTCTCTCCATGGGTCCACCAACGCCCAGAATTGTCTCAGAGTGGACTTGGTGTAGACATGCAATTCAAAAACACCACTCCACTACTTCACTGTAGTTTTGCTCTGTGATGTCATGGCTAATGCCTAGGTTGTCAACTCAATGTGTCTCCATTTGTAGATCATTTGTAGACAGATGAACTTTGAAAACCTTTACCAGCTTCAATCCAACAAATCTCGCTCATAGAAAGCTGGTTTTGCAGATACATGGCTGAAAAAAAAAAGATTTTTTTTTTACCTTGTCCAGAGCAATCCCCTAATATTTTTTTTTTATCATACAAATTTGCTATAGTTCATAAATTCAATCTTATTATCTTTACAAGACTACCAGGTGCTTTAAACCTTATTATATTGTATTCCTTTAATGTTTGGTTCTGCAACCCCATAAATCCATAATGAATGAATTATTGCTCACCTTTTGTGATTTCTATGACAATATAAACAAAAAAGTTCGCAGTCAGTTTACTGCTAACATCCAGGATCTACTGCATCTAATGCTGATGTTTGCTGCAGGATTCTTGAAGAGCAGAGATCGTACTCATCAGAAGTTTTACTCCCAGCTCACAAAGACACAGATCTTCATCCGCTTCATTGAGGAATGCACTTTTGTCAGTGACAAAGACACCGGCTTGGCTTTCTTTGATGACTGTATTCGCAAAGTAAGAAACAACATACAAATAACCTTTCATCCCTCACCTTTACCCATAATGTTTGTCAAAAGATGATTTCCACATAATCCATTGATTCTACAAAGAGGATGATGGTGATGTATTTGTAGCAGTGTGTATTTTGACAGTGATTTTTAAATCAGCTGAATCAATAGATGTCAGAGTAATTATAATAATTGACACTCGGTTGATCACCTCCTGTCTGTATAAGCTAAAAAGTTAACCTGTCTAACTGGTAAATGTGAAGCATTATTGTGTCTGGCTCGTCTTCTTTCAGCTTTTTCCCTCTGACAAAGGAACAGACAAGGGCACGAAGGTGAGCACTTTCTCCAGTACACTGTGACTAGGTGATGTGTGAGGGAAGGTTTACACCAGTGCATAAAACTGATGCCTCCCTGATCAATATCTTTGTTTCATTTTGTAAAAGAACTGATGGCTTTCACTGTTCACCAGTTGAACTGGTTTAGTAGAGTTAATCATTTACTTGGCATCTGGTGTTTGGCACATCCTTTATTTCAGCATTCATAGACTTCTAGCAGAGAGTTTGTAGCCCATGGATAGCATGAAATAGTGATCAGATAGAATGGCCCAGATTGGCTATTTATATCTTACTGTTCTGTTTGTGGCTTCATTATACTGTCGAGTTATGTGATGTGCTGTTCTCTCAATAAAGGTGCTGTTTGGCAACCTGCAAACTATTATGGCCATTTTTGCTTTAAGGGGTAGCCTTATGACATACGAGAATGCAGAAAAAGTCACATGTCACATTTCTTTAGAAAGCTGAGACTTTTGTGATGTTTAAAAACCATTTTAAGATGCAACCAGCACTGCAGTTATAATTAGTGTTTTTATCAGGCTACTGACAATGAAATTAACGATTAGAAAAGCAAAGGAACTTAAAGATGAAGTCCCAGTTAGTCGTCTATTTGGAACATTCCAGCAAAAATGCTGTAGTTTGTCTGTAAAGGGTGTCCAATCCAGAAGATCCGATTCAGTGAAATATTGACACTTTACAAATACATTGATGTCAAAATGCTCACTGACCTCTGCCCTTTTGAGCCCCTTTGGTGGCTCATTTGAACCAATAGATATGTTTAAAGTTAGCATCTGAGATTTGCAATAACAGCAAGAGTTACAGGGATTTTCTTTGGGTCTATTTATGTTTTTTTGTTTCCTTGAATTCTAAGAGATTAAAGTCAAGGAAAGATTAACGTTGTACTGTAAGCTTGGATTAGAGCTTTATTATTTACTTTTTAAAGATTCATGGGAATTTGGCTTTCCTGTGGCTCAAATGGTAGAGCATTGCGCTAACAACGCAAAGGTTTTGGGTTCATATCCCAGGGAAAGCAGGAACTGACAAAAATGTGCTCATTCATTCAAATGTAAGTCGCTTTGAATAAAAGCGTCTGCCAAATGCATAAATGTAAATGTCATTTTTTTGTAGGTTCTTGGAAATGTATTTATTTCGTTTTTTTTTTTTAATTTTAGGAATTTTTAGAAAGTATGACTTTTTCTAGTTTTCTCTGTAGGTAACCTACTATTTATTCTAATATTTAGAAAGTATTTTGTACTAATTGGGGAAGAGTAATTCGACACAGATCTTTTGGATGTGGTTCTAATGGAATGTGGAGATTCTGAATAACGTAGACGTTGTTCTCTGCATTGAGCAGGTTGAGGGGGAGTTGTCTGAGGACACCAGGCTAATGGAGCTGGATGAGTCTCAGAAGAGTGAGCACACAGTCTTCGTGATGCCACCTGAACCCCCCCTTGATGATGGTGCCGACCCCCCTCCCAAATACAGGTAAAGACTGAGAGCAGATGAACTTCCGTATAAAAGGAGCTGTTCTTCAGTTCTGGCCACTAACCAGACTGAAATGTTGCACTTTGTCGTCAAACCTCTCTGACTGTCTCTTGTCTTTGGTCTCTGATCTCAGAGAGCTTTGTGACAAACATCATATGATTTTAAGCTCATTACGTCGATCGATCACAGAGGTGCTACCGGTCGATCGCGGAGTGAAATTGAAACAATATTAGCAGATCATCCATCCCGTCACAGTTCAGCTCCAGATTCACGGATTCGGTTTTCTCTGCTCAATAGCTCGAGACCAGAATGTTCTTAGTAAACAAATAATATCTATTTATTATCTGTGTTATGTAGCGGACGAACTACAAAACGTTTTTTTTATCAAAACATGTTTCCCTCGGCATTCGCAGAAACACATTACCGTCTATGAGCAACCCGCTGACATGGAATCGCTTAGGGACCGTCTGCAAATTACCAGATCCAAAATATGTTTTACCCAGAATATGCTTCATAACGTCATTCTAAATTGCTCTATTACAACCAAAATCAAGCAACAAGCCACTCCTCATCTGCATATTGTACTGCACGACTCAAGTTTCAATAAATATTGAAATATTTATTAGAGCATTATTTTTATTCGTGATTAATAGGATCAAAGCTCAATTGCTCCTATAAAAATCACTCTATTACCATCAATTCAGGTCGCACACAACTGTTCTAATGATTCAATTCAGAGCAAGTCATCAAATTAAACTCACGTTATTACAAATAGTTACTCTCTAGTGTAAATAGTTATTATTAGTATGTGTGTTTTGTCAATTCTCAACAATATTGAAAATAATTGTTGATTGATGTTTTACATTTTTGTAGCGTAGATCACTTTGACTCAGTCATTTTAAAAGTAGCTTGCAAGCTGAAAAAGTGTGAGCACCCCTGATTTTTAGCATCAAAACATGTTTGTTATTTTAGCTTTGTTCCATATGTCGTCATTATCTGTGTTTTCAATTCAAGTTGAACAAAGTGTTTGTTTCGCTGAGTGGATTAAAAACACACTTTTGGTGTTCTGTTGTGGATTTGCACGAGCTCTTTGGGCTGCCAATAACTGTTGGGTATAGATATGTTTGTAGACGTGTAGGTACCACTGAAGGATTTGACAGAACCTGTGGATGGAACACATGGAGCTGCAGAAAACAGAAGAGGACTCCCAGCAGTCTTTGCTTCTCTAATCAAGTCCTGTTTTTTTGTCCACAGTTATAAGAATTTCCCTGCACTGCGTTTGGATCTGTTTGACCGTCCTCGAGAGCTGAGGCCAGGGTTGAGCACAAGAGTGTCAGGCGACAGTGTATCCAGTAGTCCTGCACTACTGGCTAAAAGAACCAAACAGGTGAAAGAGATTCATCTTTGCTTCCAGATCTTAGAAATGTATCATTGCTGGATTAAAGTGGTCATGAACTGGAATGTTGTTTTACTTAATCTGTTCATGAAGTTCCAGTTCAATGTATATTACAGTTTTATGCCAAACAGCTCTGTTCTGGAGAACCAATCTGGTTTTCTCATATTCGGGCTATGAAACATGATCTCTAGGACGGACTCTGCTCCCTGATTAGTAGTCTTGTAGTCCAGCACACAGCATAATGTTTCTTCTTCATGCAAGTTGTACAGATATATTCTCTATATAGAGCTCTCTAAAGCAAAGGTGATAGCTGCAGATTTTGGTGACATTTTTTTATAGAATCTCTAGTGAAGCGCTCACGTCTGTGAGAAAATAAATAACATTAAGGTAATATTATGCTGATTGGTTATATTTGAAGTAAGGCATGAAAAAATTGCCTATAATATTGTTTTATTTTATTAAAGCACTTTCAGCTTGCTTTTTGTTCTTGGATTAAGATCACCAGGACACCTGTGCAGTCGAGATTCCAGATGGATCTTGAGCACTACAACATTACTGTTTGGCCAAGTGTTGCACATTCATGTAGGCCTCTGCTTTAAGCCTTGTTTGGCTGCTGAGGAGACTGAGTGAGACTTAAACAAAGCTCTTTTCCTCACAGACTTATCAGAGAAACGCATCCTACAACGCTTGGAAAAGAACATTTCAGAGTGAATGTTCATATCAGTGTAAAATAAAGTAAAATGAAAATTAAAGGAAAAATGTATGGCCTTCAGCAGACCAAGACCGATGTACACATGTTTTACAGGGGTAGTCTGGAGACGTGGGACATGGCTGTATATGACTCTTGATATATTTGTTCTGCAGTGTGAATACGCTCAAACTTTGTTTATTATGCACTCTAAACAGCTTGTAGTTTCTAAAAAAAAAAAAAAATAGCAATGTCTATCCAGAATTTACAATAAAATTGAAAAATGAAAACTTCCTCTATCTTTTAGAACTGGGGGAATGTTGTATTTGAGTTGGGTCATTGAATTAATTAACACATCTTTATGATTTATCCTTTTATTTGTGTTAGTTTCATAAATGTTTTCCAAAAGAATAAAGAGAATCACTTCAGTGTTTTTGTGAGGCCTTAAGCTTTTGACATCCTGGTGATTTGTTTTTAGCAGAATGGAGAATTCCTTGCATCTGTAATGGAAACTGTTTCTTCTGCATAGGAAATTAAAAGGGCTTACAAGTTGGCGAAGCTATTTTACTCCGATCCACCTCAGTGGGCTAAGTGTCTGTTCAGTCACTGCTACAGTCTGTGGTTCATCTGTCTTCCTGCTCGCATGCGGACAGCCCAATCAAAACCCCGGGCCATGCAGCAAGCTTTTCACGTCCTGCTAAAGATGAGGAGCTCTGAGGTGGAGGTGCTCGATGAGGTAAGTGTCTAATCTCAGCTGTGTTTGTTTGGGTTTGGATGCTTTCTGAATAGCCGCGTGATGACTTGTGCATCAAGAAAAGCTATTGTGGAGTCATTTTTGCACAGGATTCTGCATAAAGAGATCAAAACAGAGATCATTCTTTTTTTTTCGTGCGACTGGTATGATCAGCAACGTGTGGTTGCAGGTGTGCTACCGGGTGGTCATGCAGCTCTGTGGTCTGTGGGGGATGCCCGTCATGGCTGTGCGGGTTTTAATGGAGATGAAAAAGGCTGGAGTTGAACCCAATGCTATTACTTACGGATACTACAACAAGGTGAGAGACCGGTTCTCCTCTGTATCTCTGCTATAGATGCACAAAATAGGGATAAAGATGTTTACTGTTAAAGAAGACACTCTGTTTACATTTAGCCAGCTTGAAGATGTTTTAACGTTGCAAAACAAATAAAGTGTTATGTATTTGGACTGCAACAGTCCTGCATTCTGATTTATTCTTCTCATTCAATTATGAGTGAACTTTGTAAACAGCAGCAGTTTTTGAGACCCTGGTTAATACTAGTCTGGGAATTCTAAGCCAGTGTACTGCAGCAACTCTTCTCTAAATTATTAGGAAATGAAGTCATACAAGAAAAAAAATACAGTCAAATAACGCAACACCGATATAATGCTGAAAAAATTTAGTAATACATATATATATATATTTTTTTAAAGATGCTTGATTTGTTTAGTACTCTGTATACTTCAGACAACTCTGCTTCACTCACTGACATAGTTCTACTAGCACAACAATTTGATTCAGAAACATTTCCAGAATGCCATGGACGTGCATGTTTTTGGGGATGTGTGACTGCCTTAGGGAACATCTGTTCCAGAGGAAAATCATGTATGGCATCTGAAAGATTTCTTTTTTTCAGTCATTAAAGGATATTGAAATCTTTGTGTCATTGTCTTCTAATGCACCACAAAGATCATGGGTTCGAACCTCAAGGGAAAGCAACAACTAAGCAAACATGTTAACATTAAGTTGTTTTAGATAAAAGCATCTACCAAATGCTTGTGTTTCCGCAGGCTGTCCTCGAAAGTCCTTGGCCAAGCCATAATCGCTGTGGACGCTTAATGTGGACCAAAGTGAGGAATCTTTTGCGTGGAGTGGTCCAGTTTAAACAAGCTCTTCATAGAGGACCTTCTCTGAAAATCTCAGGTACAAGAATCTCCCGATCCCCTATTATTATGACTTGGAAAGGTTCATTTTTTGCTTTGGGAGGCTGTAGCAACAGGTTCATCATGCACATGCAGGTCAAAAACACTTTCACTGAATCCAATAAAGGTCTTACACTTTAATACTTTGTTTGACCGCATTTAGCTTTGATTAAAGCACACATTTGCTGTGACATTATTTCGATAATTTTCTTTCAGTGTTGCAATCATTTTTCTACATTGATGATTGTAGAGCCTGACCACTGGTGTGTTTCCATGCAGAGTCCTCGATCAGCTCAGCAGCAGGTACTGACAGAGATCACCTGACTCATGACTGCACAGAAGAACACAGCCGCCTCTCCCTCAATTATCTAGAAGAAGCTGCTATTGTCAGTCAGTACACATCAGGTACAGGCCAAGGGGGAATGTGTCACCTCCTGCTGCTGACAATATCTTGTGTCTCTCAGTGCAGCTTTAGAGAGAGACCAATAGCAGTGCTCCAAAATTTGTTTTTGTACAATAAATTATGAT